ATTTATCAGCATGTGCCTTATGATGGTGCCAGGCAGATGGTGGCTGTTGATTTGCACAAACAAGGTAGAGTTCTTGCCCTGATTAGAGCAGCTCAGGGCAAACTGGGGCTTTATGAAATGGGGTGACTCAGGGTTAGGCTGAAATCAGCTGTTCTGTCCACCATGGAGTCACAAAGGGAAGGGCGCAGCCTGAGAGCTGCTGTTCTACACACCATGGAGTCACCAGGCTAGACACAGCCTGAGGACTGCTGTTCTGTATACCATGGAGTCACCAGGGCAGGTACAGCCTGAGGACTGCTGTTCTGCACACCATAGAGTCACCCAAGGCAGATGCAGCCTGAGAACTGCTGTTCTGTACACCATAGAGTCACCCAAGGCAGATGCAGCCTGAGAACTGCTGTTCTAAACACCATAGAGTCACTCAGGGTTAGGCACACTCTGAGAATGCTGTTCTACACTTTGTGGAGTCATTTTGAGCAGGCACAGCCAGCCTCAGCACTGTCTTCTGGGACCTGGTTTGGTTTGGACAGGGACTGGACAGGCCTGTCTGGACCAGGAAGGTGAGTGAGCTTGCTCAGCCCTTGCCCATCACAACCAGACACCACCTCCTGTGGGCAGGAGGCACTGTTGGGAGGGACATCCCTGCACTCCCAAGGTGGGTACCCGCACCCTTGTGAATTGCTCTGGTAGCTTCTGTGTGTGTGAGAGAGCCACTGTGGCCATGCCAGACCCTAGATGCTCACGAAGCTCATGACGGGTTAGAACACATGTACCAGAGGCACCATAGCAGGTGGGCAGTCTATGAAGGAGGGAACCAGGAAGCAGGATGCCAAGAAAGACAGGTCTCAGGAAGTTGAACATGGGATTTAAGTGAGGAATACTCATTTCACATGAAAGATGACTTCTCCTGAAGCTGGTGTCAAGATTTATTGGCCCAAGTGTGGATCAGAGCCAGGTTAGGCACAGCCCTAGACCTTGGAGGGTGGGACCCTGCCCTGCCCAGGTCAACACATCTGAACATCAAGGCACTCGGCTCTGTGCACATAATGCTGGGGAGATGAGGTGTTTCTAGTACCTTCCAGGGATGTACTTTTTCTCCTCCCACCAGAGTCATTTTATAACCCTGGTCCCCCTCCGGCCCCATCAGTCATGGGGAGGTATAGTCTCATTAGTTCCCAGTGACCAGCCTCCCTCCAAGGGTATCATGCCAAGGCTGAGAAATGACTTTGGCAACACAACTCACCTGCTTAGCACCCAGCCAAAGTCCTGGCAAAACCAGGCTCTGGTTGTGGGAGCAGCCCCAGCATCATGTGGAGCCACCAGCACCAACCCCAAGCAGTGAGATAGGGACCATCGAATTTGAGGCCAATCTGCAGGGTTTCGATGTGTAAGATTTATTGCAATGCCAAACGTGCATGTGTAAAATATGTAATTCCTCACACGGCCTCATAAATCCAAAGGGTCAGCAATAAATACAGGAAAATAAAAAATTACAGACTAATTTGTTCAGAAAACTAGGAGGGAATTCATGAGAGAGCTGTTCTGAAGTCACACACAGGGCAGGAACACATGTCCCCACGGCAAAACCAAACCTCCTCTGCTTTGGGGTGGGCTGTGGTGTACCTTGTGCACAACCAAGCAACTGTCCTGGCTGGTGCTTCCCAGTGAGCGTACCTCTACAGGGAGCTGGTGCCCTGGAGAAGGCGTCTGCTAAGCATCACCCCCCCACCCCGCCCCATCGGGGCCCGGCTGTCCTTGGAGGGGCTCCTTAGAAAGGTGTTCTAAGGGTTTCTCCCCAGAGATGGATAGGGGGCCCAGGCAGCTCCTGTCCTGTGGCGGGGCACCTGGGGGCCTTGCCAGGCCGACTAAGGAGAGGTGTCTCACTCAAGCCCCAAGTGCATGGAGGTCTCCCAGGGCCACAAGCACAGTTGAAGGAAGGAGCGCCTGTCTGACAGCTGGAGAAGTCTGAGCCCCAGGAGGGAGAGGCTGAGACCTGGAGGCCTTGGCAAGGGACTGGAATGTCCCTAAGGCCCACACCCCTTGTCCTAATTCACAAAGTAAACTGGTTGCACAATCTTGGGAATAAACTAGAAACCAATAATCTGTACAGTTTGTGAGTTGAATGGTGTGTGAATTATGTCTTAATAAAAAGTGTCAAACATTTAATACACCAGTATAAAAAGAAGAGGAAAAAATCATTTTCTGAAAAAAATCTCTTCATATTTTAGAATATTCAGTGAGTTTTTGAAAATAAAACTGATACCTAAAAACACAAAATGGCACATATTACTGGGAAATCACATGACATTTCTAAGTGTTTTTCTGTGCAGTTTTTTCAAAGTTATTGTATGATGCTTCTCTCTCCTGCCTTTTCCTTGTCACATAATGGTGCCATTGGTACAAATTACTCACTAACATTTTTTTTTTTTTTTTGGTACTGGGGATTGAACTCAGGGGCACTCAGCCACTGAGCCACATCCCCAGCCCTATTTTGTATTTTATTTAGAGACAGGGTCTCACTGAGTTGCTTAGGGCCTCGTTAAGTTGCTGAGGCTGGCTTTGAACTCGTGATCCTCCTGCCTCAGTCTCTGAGCCACTGGGCTCAGAGGTATGTGCCACAGTGCCTGGCCACTAACATGGTTTTTAATGACTTAAATAAGAAATGAATTGGCAAAGGATGGATTATAGATGGATGACAGAGATGATAGAGGAATGAATGATAAATGCGAGCTGGAAGACGCACACATGGGTATATACCTGTGCATACCTGTGCACACCTGCACACACACACACTCACACACAGCTTTGGGATGTGAGGAGTAACTTCAAAGAGCCGATTCCTGTATGCAAGCTTCAGCTCAAGATACCTGACAATGTTGGAAGTCAGAAAACAGACTTGAAAGTGGCTTCCTCTGTAAAAGAACTGCTAGGGTCACAAGCCACTTCCCGGAATGCACCGAGGGGAAGACTCAGAAATAGCAAAAATGCAGAAATGGCACACTTGTCAGTATACGTCCATCCTGCAAAGCACAGTTCATTCCAAAGCTTCCAAGGGAGACTGTAGCCCAAGCTCAAGTGGTTCTCACGCTGGAATCTTTTAAAACAGCCTGTCCCACTGCTCCTCCTGAGCCCTGGGAGCAGGGTGGGCAGGGAAGTCTTCACTCTTGTCCGAGTCGGGGAACTTGCGCTGGGGCACTGCTAGGGGTGATGGCTGGGCTGCAGGGCACCAGACTCCTCCTCCCTGGGGGACAGCACCAGAGCCCATCAGACACCGTGGAGGTGGCTGCTCTGAGTGGAGGTCACTGCTGGGGAGGCCTGTCCTCGCCCTTACCCATGCTCCAGGCCATTTTCCAGGGGGTCTGTGCTGAGCCTGCCCCCGGTGTATCCCTGTCCTGCCTACAGAGGCCCAGCAAGGCTCTGAGACTCACTTCAAAAAACCATAGCTAGTGTCCTCATGCTCCTTTTCACCTAGGAAACCTGTGTGCCTGGATCAACACTGCCCTGCACTCCCCCGGACCTTGTCCTGAGGAAGGCGGGGGCTCGTGTGAAGAGGGGACACAGTGCTTCCTTGCAGAAGCAGTGACCTGGCAGAAGCCACCTGGGTCATTCTGTCCTGGAAGGTCCACCCAGGAATTGAAGGAGGTGGCATGGGCTGACCTCGACCAAGCACGTGGGTGTGTGTGCGCACACATACCCATAAAGTCTCTTGCTAGGACCCAGTCACTGTGCTTCTGAGGAAAGATGTGGCCCAGGAGCCCTTTTGAAATCTGGACAAGTCTGCAGTACCAGAGAGGTCTCCTACCCCCAGAGGACAAGCCCCAGGCTTTGCTGGTGGAGGGGAAGTAACTTTCGGCCTTCGAGTGGTCACCCACTATGGTTTGCTCAGCTCAGGCACGTGGGAGGCATACGTGCCCATCAGCCGGCTAACAAGTTATATACTGGAAACAGTAAACCCAGAAGACCCTTGCTGTCACAAGTCCAGTGGGCAAGAGTCGGGAGGCTCACCCCCCAGCTCTTCTTCCACCCACGGCTGCTCTCTCCTCCCCTGTTGGCCTCTGCTGACTCCCACACTGTCCGGCTGTTAGGGGCCGTTCTTGCTGGAGCACCCAACCTCCTTGCCTGTCCTTGCCGCCGGGACAATCTTTGGCAAGCATGTTTCTTCATCACTTGGGTCTGGCCCTTTTAGCCCTTGACAAGGCTGTGGACACCCTGTCCAAAGAAATGCAGCTGGATCCAGTCTGAAGTGATGTGGAGCCCCTGCCCAGTCTGCAGCTGTTTCAGATGACCATCCTGCATCGCCAGCAGCAGGGTGGCGTGCCTCATTTCCAGCCTACCCTGGATATCTAGGCCTCCTGAAGGCCCCTGTGCACATGTGCACGCACACGCGCGCGCGCACACACACACACACACACAGTTACACAATGGCATCACAAACATTGTGTGCCTCCCTTAGGGACTGCCCTGGGGGATGAGCCCCGACAGCACAGCCAGCGAGTCGCATAGGATGCTCCTGGTGAGCTGGGTGGACACCAGGTCCACAGCCTGGGCTCCCTCGCCTTTCTCCAAGCCTGGGAGATCAGCACAGGGCCCTGAGTCAAGGACCAGGGTGGAGTGTCCCCCAGGGAGCTGCTCTCTGCCCATTGAGTCCTCGGCCCCAGGGTGGTCCTCTGCCTGGCAGCTCAGGCCTCCCTTCCCCTCCTCGCCAACACTGGCCAGCAAGGGCACTGGGCAGGGGGGAGAGGCTGCTGGGACTGCAGACCAGGGTGTTGGGGGTGTGGCTGTCCTTCTGGATAGGGGCCCATCCAGGCCTCCCAAGAGGGTCCCTGACCCTGGCTCACGCTCCGCACACTCAGTGCCCCACACCCCTCCCCAGGGCCTGCCCATGTGGCCTAGGGACTCCTCAGGCGCCACACCAGCCCAGAACCCCAAGCCCAGAGCAGGATCCTGGCGCCCACCCTGAGTGTCCAGTAGCACCTCCGTGTCACTAGCCACCAGCGGCCTCAGCAGAACCTGCTGGGCCACACAGGCTACTTGGGATAGACTCAGGGTCAGTGCCAATGGCCTTGGGAGCCCCTTAGGGGCACTGCCTGTCCCTTCACTCAAGGGGGACCCTGGGCAGCTGGCTGCTTCTAACCCCTGACTGCCCAGGGCTTGGCTTCCCACAGCAGAACCTGATTCACCCAATTTGCCCTCGAGGCTTCCACCCTTCCCAGGCACCCCCAGGCACAGCCCCAACCCCTGTGGCCCTGGGGACAGTGCTGCTGGCAGAGCCTCCTCAGGAAGATCCTCAGTGGCGATGGAGGTGTCCTCTGAGCCCCCAGAAAACATGGCCTCCTCGGGAGGGGAGGGGAAGTCTTCTGAGCACGGGTAGGCCTCCTCCCTGGCCCTCTGTGCTTCAGGGGTGGGAGGCGGTGGGGGCAAGTGGGCATCCCTGTGGGCGGGGGACAGGAGGTCTCTACTGCCACAGGACAGCTCCTTGTCAACTGGAGACAGGATCCCAGCCAAGAAGCCAATGGCACCTGGGGGACCGGCCTCCTCCAGGGCAGCAGGGCCTCCACCCCCCCGACACCCAGGCACCTGGCTCCCGGCAGCTGGAGAGTCCAGTGCACTGGGGACCTCAGGAGTCTGCAGGGCCAAAGGGACCTCGGGCTGCGGCGAGGTCTGTGGAAGTTCCCTCTGGGTGGTCAGACTCACAGCAGCACCCCAGAGCTCCTCCCAGCAGTCAGCGGGGGCCTGGGGAGGGATCAGCCCTCCTCTGCCGAAACACATCCCTCCAGAGGTGGAGGTCCCCAGAGGGAAGGACAGTGGTGGGTCTAAGTCACTGGTGGAAGGGGTCTGGAATAGGAGCCCCTGGCTGGTGGTCTCAGGGGAGGCCGACTTGGTTTTCCCCATACTCGATCCACGGGTGAGGCTTTGGCTGGCTCCAGAAGATTCCTGTCCCTCTCTAGGGCCCAGGAGAGGAAGAGGCACTTGAGGCTGCCCACTTTTCTTGAGGTCGGATGAGCCACCTTCAGGCCAGGAGCTCCCTGAGGCTGGCCCTGCACCAACACCAGCTTCCCACAGGTTCTTCCTGCTGTCCTCGTCCCAGATTTGGTTGGAGGCTTCTGACAGCTCTGACCCTGACCTTGGATAGAGGGTGTCTGGGAGGGACAGTGGCCAGCTTTCCTGCAGGAGGCTCTGCCTGGACTCTAGGCCTCCTGCCACGGTCACCTCCATGGAGGAGACACCCAGGGACCCAGCCCCGTTGCCCCCCTGCCTCTGCCAGGACATGCATCCTGCAACCCCAGGAGTGCCACCCGGCTGAGGGTCCCCCTGGTGGAGCCCCCAGGATAAAGGTGGGGTGAGCTCCTCCCAGGAGTCATGAACAGAGAGATCCCCAGACTGGTCAAGGTCAGCGTCTGGGGTGACCTCAGCTTCCAAGCCAGACAGGGAAAGGGAGCTGTCAGAGAGCTGGACCAGGGTGGCTGAAACTTTTTGAAATTCCTGGAGAGAGGAGCAGGACGGGTCACTCGCAGAGCCTGTGGAGGAGGTGGGGGAGGATGCAGGAGCCTCTGAAGACCCTGAGCAGGTCCTGGAGGCAGACTCCAAGTCCAGGTCCAAGGGGGCTCCCAGCTGGGGTGCGGGGCTGCTTGAGCGAGGCGCTGCAGGAGCTGATGGGACAGGACAAGTCTCAGATGACATGACAGTGGTCACAACCTGCCCTGGGGCAGTGCCCCCTATACCAGCAAGGGCAGTCCCTCCCTGTGGCCCCCACAGCCAGTGGTTCAAAATCAGAACACCCCAACAAAGGCAGAAAATGGTCAGTGGTGCCAGAGCGACGGACCCTCGACCAACCTGCCGGTAGCTACCCCCATCCACCCACCAGCAATGGGTCACTCCTGAGTCTCAGCCGTCGACAGACAGCGGGACTGGCTCTGCTTGCTTTTCACTGGTGATGCCCTGGGGAGGGGCCTGGGCAGGGTCCCTGCAGCTGGGCATAGGGAAGATAGGACTGTGTGCTGTGGGGAGAAGCCCAGCTCTGATTTAGGAACTGCTCTTGGATGACCCTTAAGTGGGGACTTGAGAGTCCTGGAGCTGACATTGAGAGTCCCTGGAGGGGAGGGGGGCATCACCTGGGAAGGCAGCCAGTCGGGGAGTCTCCAGCCAGGCAAAGGGGACCCCCAGGTCCTGCCGACAGGCCTCTACCCTGTAAGCACATTGGTGGAGAAGTCCTGGAGCACCCCCCAGAGGGAGTCCTGTCCCCCTAATTCCCAGGGCTCATGGTCAGGGACCTGCAGGAGGTCAGTCAACTCTACCATACTCTCAGGAACACCCCTCCAGCCATCTACCACCTCTATGCTTCACATCTGCACACAGGGCTCCTGGGGGTGAGGCCTGTCTTTGGGGGCCATCTGGCCCCAGCCCCACTGAATCAGGTAGGAGATGTGGCACTCCTCCCTGAGAACACACGATCCCATGGTAGCCCCTCTGCTGCCCCCCAGCTGCACCTTGGGTCCATTTATTGGGCACCATCTTTTTTTTCAAAAAGGAAGGTGAACTGAAGGATGTCTCATGGCTGGGCATGAGGTCTCAGCAACCAGAGGGCAATATGCTAGCCAGCCCTGTCACCAGGGCTCAGAGCCCCACCCTGCTGGTCCCGCACCTCTGCTCCCCTGGCTGCCAGTTCTCCACATCCTGGGGCTCCCCCACAGGGCTCCCAGCCACAGCGAGCCCCAATTCTGCCCCTTCTTGGCTTGTGCTGCTCTCAGCCACCTGCAAGAAACACGTCAGAGAAATGACAGGTCTGGGTGTGGCCTCTGCTGGAGCACTGGCCACAACCCTGGGCTGTGGATGGAGCCTTCACGCCTCCAGAGACCACGTGGAGCCAAGGCCATCCCCCCAGTGAGGGCTGTTGAGAGCCCCGCTCACCAGACACCCTCCTCCCACCACGGAAAAGACTTTGCCCGCCCAGGGACTGAGTGTCGGAGCAAGGCCCACAGAATCAATGAATCTCAGGACCCTGACCCTTCCAGAAGGGCTTCAGAGGTCTCATCCTATAGACCTCATGTGATGGCAAGGCCACCCCACAGGGCCAGGCCCCGATGGCTGGCAGGACCCCACCCAACTCACTCTGGCTTCCTGGGGACTGCAGGAGCCCTCTCCGCCCTGAGGCTGCTGACTGTGTTCCACCAAGTTCCACCTGGGGCTGTCTGTTGGAGCTGGGGGACTCTCTTCTGCTAAGGCGATCCTTGGCTTGGTCTGAGAGTCTCCTGGAGGACAAAGGTACTGTCATCCCCAACAGGCACAGACAGGGAGACAGAGAGAGTGACTTCTAAGAATTCTGAAGCCACATGAAAAAAAATCTGAATATTTGAAATGGACACAAGACTTCCTTGTGGAGTCTGGTTAGCATGAGGACATAAAAACACGCGGTGATCTGCTAAAGATACCCTCTGCGTAGTTAGTGACAGAGGTCCCAGAAAGAAGCTTATAGAAAATGTGTTTTAAATTTAGAGATCTCACTCCCCGCTTTGGGGACTCTCCTGCAGGCCCCTGGGAAACCCCATTCCTTTCCCTGTTTCCTCCCCACCCGAGCTGAGCTGAGGAGCACCCACTCCCAGCTGGACACTGGTGGGGGACACAGAAGGCCAGGAGGCAGGGGTGGGCCTTGGACATGGCAGGTCATCTGTAGCAGAGCTGGAAGGCCGCCAAGTGGGGACAGAGCAGTCACGGCAGAGCCTCTCTGGGTCGATCATCATCTCCCTAGACCTGAGTTCCACCTGGGCCTCAGCAGGGTGCTGGGACCCTGAGGCCCTTAAGGGAGCCAGAGCTGTGTGCCTGAAGCTCTTGTCCATGGCCCTTGGTGAAGGTCAAGACAACGGGGACCCTGCAGGGAGGACCCTGGCTTCCCAATGACCATGACAGGTGTCAGCCAGGGAGACCCTGCAGACTGTCTTCTGGCCAGCGAGCAGCGGAGGCCGTGTCAGGCAGCCCCAAGGCAAGTCCCAGGCCACCCACCGACAAGCTCCAGATCACAGGCCAGTAACTCCAGTCCCTGAGCCTCAGTCTTCTTCTCTGCAGGGTGGGTACGACAGGCATGCTCACCTCAAGAGGCAACACGGTCCCTGAGGGGAGTGTGGACACCTGGCTGACATGTGTGGGGGCAGAGGGCAGTGATGCCCCTGGACGGAGGCTTTAGGCCAAACATGTTGAAGCCAGTTACAGGAACCTGGATGGAAGCCGGCCTGGGCCTGACGCTGGCAGAGTAGGGCAGGCCATGGAAGGCCCTGGATGTCTGCCATGCCTCCAGCTTTGCCAGAGGCACACTTCTTGGAGGCAACCTGGTGTCCAGCTGGTCTAACCTCTTCCCATCCCACTTGATTCGTCCTGAGGTTTGTCTCCTGAACCCTGGATGCAGGGAGCCACCCTCAGGCCAGCAAACTTGCCAGGGAAAATAGTGTCCTTCCTGATCCTGAGGGTGGACGTTGAGAGGGCTTCTGGGCAAGGCTGTACCCCAGCAGTGGGCAGCTCCGGGGTTCCACCCCAGGCACCAAGGCCAGCTGGGCCACTGAACACTCCACCAGGGCACCCCGCCAGAGCTGAGAGCAGGTCTCCTCCTGCCCTGGGCCAGAAAGCTAAGAATGTGACTCGTGCAAAACCCTCATGTCAGGCAACAGAGATGCTTCTGGTGAGGCTGATTTCCAAACCCTTAAAGATGGTTCCAGATAAGCCAGGTTGTGACAAGACACTCAGAGCCAGTCATGACTTTTAATGCCGCAGAGAGCCACATCACCTCCCTTAGTACACAGAGCAGCAGGCTTCCAGCTGTGAAAGAATCTGAGAGCAGGCCCTTCCTCTCTGGCTTTCCTTGAGGGCCTCTCTGGCTTCCCTGGCTGCTGGGCCAGCCTTGGACGGGATCTGCTGGACGCAGGGAAGCTGCTGGCAGGATCCACACTGGGGCAGCCCACAGACTCTATCTAGGGGGCTTACCTGCAGGTGGCTCTTTTGCTTCCTGTGGCTTGGGCTGAGCTCTGGGGGTGCTCCCCTCCACCTCTGCAGCCTGCATCTACAGGACAGGACAGAGATGCCAGGGATGCAGGTCACCAGGAGAGCAGCTGCCTAAGACTGGGAGAGCCAAGAGGCCCACTGGCACCACAGGGGCAAGGGCACGTGGGCATCCAGCATCCCAACCAAAATCATGCTGCAGGCTGGCAGGATGGGGGCCCCAAGCAGGCAGGGCTGGGGAAATGGGGAAGAGGCTTCCTGGGATTTCATACGGGAAAGTCTGGGCCTGGCAGCTGTCCGAAGCTCAGAATGTTCAGCACGGGGACACGAGGCTGCTCCCCAGGCTCTGAAGACACAGTCCTGAGAGTCACAGACCTTGGATGGCCTGCAGGGAGCCCCAGACCTGCAGACGAGCAGAGCCAGCTGCTGGGGAAAGCTTGACACAGCTGCCTGTCCCTCTGTGGAGCCCAGAGCTCTGTGCACTAGCCGCCACCTCCAGGGACGACACGGCTGCTCCTAAAGGTTTTCCCTTGCACCTTCGTCTCCCCCAATCACAAAACTGACTCCCCTCTCCTCTTCCCAAACCTCCTCTGATCCCTCTGCCCATAGATTCCAATGTCCCAGAGGCACCGGCTCCACCAGCACCCCTCCAGACTGTGTGCCAGGGCACCCTGGGGTTCCAAGACATTGCCCAGAGGCCACAATGGGCCTGAGGATTCCCGTGAGCTGGGCCCCATGCCCCTCTGCAATGCACCACCCACACGCCCATGTCCATTTGCTTTCTAAGGTTTGTCTAAACTTGTGTCACTGCTTTGAGACCAGCACTCTAGCTGGAGGAATGTGAGAAACTGGAGAGCCAGAGCCAGCAAGGAGGGTGGGGGCCCCAGGCTTGCCATTTGGAGTGAGGGGAGAGACCATCCCTTTCACAGGCCTTGCCTTGGAGGCCACGTGCAGAAGGCAGGATTGTGTCTTGAAAGATGTGTCCGAGTCTTAACCTACAGAACTTAGGAATGGGAAGTTATTTGAAAATAAGGTCTTTGCAGATACAATCAAGGATCCCTAGATGAGATGGTGCAGGAGTTAGGGTGGCCCTAAATCCAATGACTGATACTCTTAAAAGAGAGAAAAGAGAGGAGATAGACACTGAGGAGCAAAAAACGACATGGGAGAAAAGAGACACGGGAGAAAGGCCACGGGAAGTCGGAGGCAGAGGCTGGAGCGACTCGGCTGCAAACCCAGGGACATCTGGAGCCAGCAGGGGCTGGAAGAGGCAGGAAGGACCCTCCCGGGAGCTTCTGGAAGCAGCGCAGACTTTGGATCTCTGGCCTCCAGAAAACCGCCCTATTGTTCAAGCCACCGAGCTGTGGAACTCTGTCATAGCAGCTCCCCATCCCACCCCATCACTGTCCAGAGCGGGAGGCTGAGGCCCAGGAGGGGAAGGATGTGGTAAGTACAGATGGGGCACAGGCTAGGTGGCCATGCCAGCTGCCCTCAGGACTGGTGCATTGGGACAGAGGAACTTCTTCTGGAGGAACCAACAGCAAACAGGCCAACCCCTGCCCTGCCGTGTTCCTGCCTAGAGGCTCAGTTCTGAGCAGGAAAGATGGCTCCCGCCAGGCTTGGCCCTCTCTCTACCCTCGCCTGAAGCTGGACATTGCTGCTGCCCCTGGCTGGTCACTGTACCTGGCCCTGCCTGGCAAGTCTCAGGCCTCACTGGGGGCAAGCCTAGGAGCTCTGAGCAGCTGCTCCTGTCAGAAGCCCTCTGCAAGCAGGAGAGCCTGTTTGGGCATCCCTCTGCTGGCACCCAGTGCCCTGTGTTGAAGTGTAGCATGGGGTGGCCTCCTGCAGGCAAGCCCACAATGCACTCTGCTAGCCACACACCCAGCCTGGTGGGCAGAATGTAGTTCTGTCTGACCCCAAGCTAATGCAGCTCCCAAGATATGTGGAGCCCAGTGAGCCCGTGACCATTTGTCCTCAGCTGGCCGCTGCTGCCATGCCCAGCTACCTTGGTCCATTTGGCTGCCACTCTCCACCAGTGGGTGGCTGGCTTCAGGCGTGACCTCTCCCCATGCAGACCTTGGAGGCTGCAGGTGACCATCAGCATGGGAAGCTGTCTCAGGGGGTGCCTCCTCCAGCTGCACAGAGGGAGGCCTGAAAGACAACAGAGGGCCGAGGTGACTGCCCACCCTGGCTGCTCCCACCCACCATGCCCACCCACACCACAGCAAGTCCCTGTCCCAGGAACAACCTCCTGCCACATCTAGGAGCACCTATGGCCAGCGGCTATGTGGAAGGCAGGGGCTGGTCCCTCCCTACGCAGAAGCTTTCCAAGCAGAGCCTCTTGCCCACAGATGGGGCTTCTGCAGTGGGGTACGTTGCTGGGATGTGGCTGGGAAAATGTCTGTCTTCCTCCCCAGCAGAAGGTCCATAAAGGTTTCTGCATGGAAACCAACCACCTGCCTATGGATCAGCACTTGTGGGTGCACAGTGGGCTCTGTCTGGATCCTGGGAGGCACAGAGTACATCCATGCCTGCTGCCAGGCACTGGGCACCCATCCTACCTGCCTAAGCCACACTGACAGGGCAGCAAGAGCCTGACCTGGCACAGCCTCAGGCAGCAGGAAGGGAGGGATGCCAGGTCTCCAGAATCCTTCTGGTTAAGAACAAGGAGGTAAGCCTGCTCTGGAACATTCTGCTGCTCTCTCAGTGTCCCTGGCAATACATCTGCTGCCCTTGTCCCCACAGGAACCTGCACAGCTCACAGCGCCCACCGAAGGTGGCCCTGAGAGTGTCCCTCCCAGATTCACACTTGGGCAGGAGGAGGGCAGGACCAGATGGGTTTGTGGAGGGTGGTGATCAGCCAGAGATGCTTGATGCTGGCTGCCCAGGGAGGTGGGGCCTCTAGGGTCCCTGTCCACCTGTCCCTCAGGGCAGGCATGGAAGCTGACCTGGATGGAATGGAAATAGGCCCTTCCAGAGGCACCTCCCCCAAAACCCTTCCAGCGCCAGCCGGGCTCTCAGGTCAGGACCTGTAACCCCTCATCCCCTGTCCTTGTCTCTCTCTCGCTCCTCAGGGACACAGGGTCAGACACTTGCTCACGGATGCACCCAACCCCCAACACTCACAGTCAGACACGGGGAACCCAGCGTGCCTGTCTCCGGGCACCACCACCTGCTCTGGGCTGGGCTTTACCTGAGCCTCCTTCCCCTCTGTTTGACTCTCAAACAGTGACTAGCTTTGCTGCTGGGCTGAGGGAAGCCCCAAGGATGGGCTCAGCCTGGTCTCAGGGTTCAGAGCCATGTGGGAGCTGGCAGCCCTCCTCCAGCCCTCCAGACCCCAGGGGCCAAGCAGTGGAGTCCGCCTGGTCGCATCTGCAGATTCCCAGGACTTGTGACTGATAGCACTGGGATTACCTGGCAGTTCCTGCTGCAAACTGTCCTAGAAGGAAGCCCCTGGAGCTGACGACTGGGTGAGCAATGGCTTCCTAAGCTGGGGGAGGTCCCCAGGCTGGAGATAGCTACTGGGGCGTGGCCAAGGGCATCCCTGAGGAGGCTGCCCCTGGGAGTAGCCCCTCCTGGAGAGAGGATCTCCCTCCGTGTCTACCCCACTCACAAGGTTGCTGCTTGGAAGGCGGGTTTTGCCACTGGAGTCTAGGGTCGCTGGCCCTGGGGGCGGAAGTGCAGGGGAGAGGGCCTTTAACCTGGGAAGGAGGCGGAGCATTTCTAGCATGGAGAAGCCAGGAAGCTCGTGATGGGAAAATCAGTGCTGTGCCCATGGCCAGCCCTAGGTCGGGAAGCACTGGTCATCAGACCCCACCAAGACTCAGCACCGGCAGAACTTCTTGTCTCCCGCTGCAAACCAAGTGGCCGTGTGGCCATGCTCAGAGAGGACCTGGCCACCACTGGCCACAGAGCACAGCAGCCCTAGGAGGGCGTCTAGAGGCCCAGGCTGCCACACGGTGCTATCTACTGCCCCAGTAAGCCATCCACCTTCTCTGTCCCCCATACCCCATGGCAGCCCTGGAAGGCCCCACGGCCAGCCAGAGCCAGGAAAGCTGCTCCTCCCCTGGAGCCAGGGCAGCTCTGGGCAGCCGGCAGGAGCAGGCTCCCTGGTGCCCTCGATGCCCCTCACCCACCCTGGGGGGCTGAGTGAGGTAGGCCCAGTGGCAGCAAGCAAACACACAGGCTTTTAATGGCAAGTGTCAGAGCCAGGGCCTCCTGGGACCAACTCACTGTGAGACTTTTGAGCATTCAGGGTTTCTCTGGGGACATTGGCTGGTGGGTCTGTGAGGCCTGGGTGCTGTCAGCGGGCAGAGGTCTCCCTCCAGTCGTTGCCTAGGCTCAGAGCCCTTCTCTACGGTGGCCTGGACTTCAGGGCTGGAATTCTAGGAAAGAGCAGAGCGAGCCTCATGAGGCCACCCATGTCCTCCTGGGAGAGCAGGAGATAGGCACATGTAGCAGCAGCCACAGCAGGACAGCACACAGCACCGTGGAGCCCACTGACAGGTGCAGAAAGGAGCCTCAGAGTGGGTGCCCTTGCCCCAGGCTGGCCAGGGCACCTCCAGTGAACCCTGGAATCAGGCTGCCCATGGTCCTGCAGGCCGGCCTGGGGCAGATGCTTCAGAAAGCCTAATTCATTCAGTCCTGGTCCCCACCCTTAAGACCTCAGTCACCCCAATGTAGAGAGGAGATGCTCAGGTGGGGACAGCACTTAGCTCAACCAGGGGCAGCCCCTGCCCCTTGCCACAGCCTATTCCAATCTGTCAGCTAGTGGGGAGGGGAAGCTGGAGTCCTCCACCCCAGGACACAGTGGCTGCTAGGTGCCCAGGGGCTGGCCTCCCTGAGGAGCTCCAGGCCATATTCTCCTTCCTTGGACCACAGAGGTCCCCTACTCTGCCCCTGGCTGGTCACTGTACCTGGCCCTGCCTGGCAAGTCTCAGGCCTCACTGGGGGCAAGCCTAGGAGCTCTGTCCCTGCTGAGGAAAGCCCGGGGCACCTCCACCTCGACCCGTCCTCCTCTCCTTCCTGATGGCTCCCTGCCTCTGCCGGGGCCTTTCTCCATGCCCTTGGCCTGGAGTACCAGCCACGACCACTGGAAGTCTCTCTCCTCAGGCAGGGACAGCCAGGGCACCTCTGCCAGGAAACCTTCTCGGGGGGCATGCCTAGCAGGTCCCTCCTACCCTCACCCATGGAGTCCCTTTCTACCTGAGGTGACAAGCATTTTTACAAGGGACTTGCACACTCACACAAAACAGCCAGGGGACAAGCATCCTGCACCCAGATGAGAGCACCCACCTGTGGCAGCTGGGTCTGTGACCGCAGCTCCTGACGAGGGCAGGTGGCAGAGCTCTGCGCTGTGAGGACGGCCTTCTGATGCTGTGCGAGCTGCTTCCTGTCTTGGTGCATGGACAGGTGAAAAGCCCTCAAGTGCTGGATTTCCCTCTGCACCAGCCAAAGAGGACAGGTCAGACAGGCATCCCAGCCCACAGCAGCTCCCACATGGAGGGAGGGGGCAGAATTGGCCAGGGGCACCTGGGGCACCCTGACCTCACACTGACAGCCTTGCATTCCCCTCACATGCCCCTTGCCAACCCTTCCTGCTCAGCTTCTTGGCTGCAAGTTTGGCCAAGGTGGCACCAGCCAGAGGCAGGAGGGAAGCAGAGGACTCAGCCTCCCTCTTCCTGGGTTCTGGGCGCTGCCCCACCTCTGCCCCTTTATTAAACCTTCCCAAGCTCCAGGAAAGAGATGCTACTGTTCAGGTGGGAAACTGAGGCCTTGAGATGCAGGGCCACTTGCCCAAGGCCACACCAGCAGGAGGCTGAGGCTGGCCTGGAGCCAGCATAGGGGCCTGCTCCATTTCAGCCTTGTTGCCCCTCAAGCTATGGACTCTCTGAGGCACCACGGAAGGTGCCCCAGCTGTGGTGTTGGGTAGTCCCGTCCCCAGCCCCGAGGGGCAGGACACCTCCGTGTTACCCCGTCCGGGCCATACCTGCTCTTTCTCACGCCTGCTGAAGGCTCGCTGCGGCCTCTCCAACAGGGTTTTCTGCACTGCCTGGGGCCGCTTTCTCAAAGCCAGACACCTGGGAAAAGAGTGCGCCAATCTGGAGGATCTGTGCAAGTGGACATCGAAAGCCACAGACGGGGCCAGCCCAGGGTGGCCAAGTGCACCCGTATGCCCTTCTGCAGACCAGATGCTGGGACAAGTAGTTATGCACAGCAGGTGTGAGGGTCTGGGGTAGTCCAGGCTGTCACTTTTCCCACCCCTCACTACCTCTTTGGGGTCTAAGATACAGAGGCTGGCCAATGGCAGCACCTCCCACCTGGGGACCCAGCACAGGCTGGTACTTCTCGGCAAAGAGAGGCAGGCCTCCACCGGGGGCAATGTCAAGAGGCTTCTGAATACATGCTTGCTGAGGAGGCTGTGCCACTTCTTTTTTGAGGAAGGGCACAGGGCACTGAATTCAGGTACAGCCACTGAACAACATCCCCAGCCCCTTCCCCCTCCCCCCTTTTTTGGTATTTTATTTAGAGACAGGGTCTCACTGAGTTGCTTAGAGCCTCGCTTTTGCTGAGGCTGGCTTTGAACTTGTGATCCTCCTGCCTCTGCCTCCCTAATCCTCCTGAGCTGCTGGGATTACAGGCGTGAGCCACCACTTTTGGCACAGGGCTGTGCCACTTGTAAGAACGCTCCTTAAGAACATCATCTCTCGGGTGTTCCTTAGGAGGGAGAAGAGGACTAGCTGGAAGGCCCGGCAACTGCACCGGCCAAGGGAGAGACAGCTCTGGAAGCAGTCCCCCTGCGTGTTGAAGAGTCACATGGTGACTTGGCATCTCAGATGAAAACTCCGCTCACAATCTGTATGTGCAGCTTAAGTCCAGTGTTTCTGTGGCCACGCATTTCCCTCAGCAACACCAGACAAGGGTCACTTGAAAACAGGCACAGGCGTATGAAACATGATATGTCAAGAGCTTTGTAATGTTTTGAACAACCAATAAAAAAAAAAAAAAAAAGAAAACAGGCACAGGCAGTCTCGGAGGCGAGCTGCGAGGGGTATTCCCGTCTCTCTTGTTTGGGGTGCTTTACTGCCTTACCTAACACCTGCGCAGTGTTCCCCTACAGCCCGCTGGACCAGGAGGGGCGGGGCCACGATGAGGGCGGGGCCACCGGGAAGGCGGGGTCAACCCGAGGGCGGGACCTTCTAGGCGCACCAGGAGAAGCAGGCCACGAAAGGGGCAGGGTATCCGCAGCGGGGGTTTCGGGGCTGGGCCAGCCAAGCAGGCGCTCACCCTAACTCGTGCTTCATGCAAGCCAGCTGGGCACGTTCCTTCTCCTCGAGGGCCATGTCGCGTAGGCGCTGCAACTCGGCCTGGTGCAGTGGGCACAGCTTCTCCTCCTGCAGGCTCTGCTCCAGCATCCCGACGGTGAAGAGGCTGAACGGTCTGGAAGCTGCGGCATGGGCACTTCTGGGCCTCGAAGCGTTCCCCTGGGGCGAGGCAGATCCACGCAGCCACGTCACCGCCAAGCATCTAGGCCAGTCCTGGGACCCGTCTCCAGGAGCGGTGCCTATCCCTGGGGAGGAGGCCACCGCCTCCAGGAAGCTCTTCAGGACTGGCTGCCGCGCTCATCCCGTTGCCATGCCCCTCTACCCTGAGAGGTGCCCCTCCCCACTGTGAGCTCTCTGAGGGCAGGTGGGGTCATCATCGTGGCCTGTCCCCACCTGTCACCCAGGGTGGAGGGCCCGGCTGGGGAGGCTGTCAGCTGGAAGGGTGGGTGATGTGATGGCAGGGTGAACTGACCAGCAGGGCCCAGTGTAGACCCCAGTGCACTGGTGTTCCCTGCCCGTGCTCCTCACCCCCACTCTCCCTGTACCTGGTGGGTAGGGCTGTCCAGAGGGCAAAGCCTGGTCAAAGGCAGCTGGGAGGGGGCTGGGTCGGGCTTTCCCACCTCTGAGAGAGAGAGCAGGCAGTGCCTGGGTCAGTGCCCTGTCCAGGGCCTTCCTACAGGAGGGCCTCCCAAAGGTAGACTGGGCAGTTTGGTGGCCCACCCACCCCCAACTTGCAACTTCACCAGCATCTCATAGGGCCACAGAAGGGAGCCGTGGCCAGCTTTTTCCTGATGTGAAGTTCTGGGGTTTGACCCCCCAATTGAGGGAAAGATCAGACCAAAAGTTGAAGAGCAGAGAGATGACAGCCCAGGCGCCTTGCTTCCACAGAAGGGGACACTGAGGCCAGAGGGGGATGGCTCCCAGGTCCAGCCCCAGCAGAGTCCAGATTCCTGGCTTAAGGAGCTGCCTGGCTGCTGACCTGTGCTGGCCATCCTGCTGTGCTGGGAATGGCAGAGAAAGGACCCTCCCTCTACTTTGAAAAGATCATAGGGACTCTTGCTTCCCACCAGGAGACATGGGATTAGGTTTTGGATTTACCATTCCATCTGAAACAACTAAAAAAATCTCATGTTATGCTTGTTCATACACGAGAGAGGACGGTTCTCTATGCGCTGAGTATCCGACAGTGGAGCACAGTGACCACTGGTAGAAAAGTGGCAAGGCCTCCATTGTCACAAGCCCTGGGAGTTTCCAAGCTGCAGGGAGGGAACCCAGCCGGCGGGACACCTGAGCAGAGTGGTGGAGCTGACCCTGGAGAGACCAGCAGCTGCAGTTGGTGGGACAGACTGTGAGGGGAAAACCTCAGGGGTAAAGAAGCAGCCAGGCTGAGGCGCAGCTAGTGGTGGAGCGCTTGCCTAGCCTGTGCAAGGCCTGAATTTGGTCCCCAGCACTAAAAATGAAATAAAAATAAAAGCAGCAACCACAGGCCAAGGTATTCAGGAGGACCAGGAGGCTGAGACCAGTCAGGCGAGGAGCTAGTGACACCTGGCTCACTGGGCAGACAGAAGTTTCTTGCCTTGGTTGTAGGAATAACTAGCTCCAGGCTGAGCACGGATCTGGGTCTGCCTCATTAATTACGAACGCAAGGCCTGAGAGGCTCAGAGTAGTTCAGACCACTGCATTCCAGAGCAAAGCTTCTGAAAATGCGAGGAACACAGAACACCTAGACCCCACAAGGAAGCATGCATGGCGTCCAGCAGTAAGCAATGCAGCAGGGGCACAGCCAAACCTGGCCCGGGCTTGCCAGTGTTGGACTGGCAGAGAGTAGACACAGTGCATATGTCTAAAAAGTTAAGTGGAGGGCTGGGGCTGGGGCTCAGCGGTGGCTACCTTGCCTGGCATGTGTGAGGCACGGGGTTCGATTCTCAGCACCACATATGAATAAATAAAGGTCTATCAATAACTAAAAAAAATATTTAAAAAAAAGTTAAGTGGAATCAAGGAGGACATGAAAAAAGAAAAGTTTCAAAGGAAGCTTTTACTTTTTTAAAATGTTTTTTTGTAGTTGTAGATGGACACAGTACCTCTGTTTTTTAATTGTTTATTTCTATGTGGTGTGAGGATGGAACCCAGGGCCCCAGATGTGCGAAGCAAGCGCTCCACCACTGAGCCCCAGCCCCAGCCCCTCAAGGAGGCTTTTAGAGACAGAAACGATAGCTGTGTTCAGAGCCCTCGGTGGGTTCCAGGCAGATGGGCATCAAGGACGCAGGCCATAGGGAGAGGAGTGGAGGGAGCAGGAGAAGCATTTGAAAAGCAGAACTGCAGGTTTGCACCTGGGTCTAAGAGTCTCAACACACACCTGGCACAAGAAACATGAGGAGAACCACACAAAGCACATCGCCACCCAGTGCTCAAGACCGCAACAGATGTAGTGGCAGAGGAAAAAGCAGAAGTAGTCACCTTCAGACCAGCAAAGGTGCCAAGGACAATAGGCCACGTCCTGCCCCCTAGTGTTGGGGAGGAAGCCGAGGCTGCCCAGTGCTCCACCAGTGAGCTGCACTTCCAGCCCCAGGCAATGTCTTCAAAGTACTGAGAAAAAGGTGTGCACCCGACTCCGAGGGCAGCAGACCATCCGACAAATCCCGAGCCGTAATAAAAGTGTCACACGTTGTCCTTGTCGACCTCACTGCCAGAAATGGTTTCCTTTCAGGCAGAAGGAAAGTAACAGCGGGTAGAGATCCAGACCCATGCCAAGGAATGGGGACACCAGAGACCAACAGGACAACTGCAATTCAAAACCCACAGCAGGGTCATCAACTTTAAATGAGATAACAGCAATGCGCTGTGGAGTCGGCGACGTATGTGGATGAAATGTTGGCCACTCCCAGCCTAAAGTGCAGTGAGAGCCCTGGCTGTGGCGAGGTGGAGGAACGTCACCCACAGGCAGAGCAGGCCTCCTGGTGTTCCCCAAACCAGCACTCAAGCAGCAGGGAGCTACAGCTCACAAGCCAACAAGAGAGACGAGATGGAATGATTTTGAAAACACTGTTTAATGCAAAAGGAGGCAGAAAAACTAGAGAAGTAAGTGAAGGACAGACAGCCCGCGTAAGACAAGCAGCAGGATGGGAACCAAAGCTAAGGAGGTGGACGGTCACTTCCTCGGTGGGCAGAGGAAGCAGGGCCGGGTTTACAGAAGGCAGGGTGTGAGTCCGCTGCCCGCAGGAAGCACTCGCAAAGCCATGCAGCAGATTCAAGGTGGGGGTGGGAAGGAGGACCCAGGCCTAGCTGAAGCCCAGGGCCTATCCTATTGCTGCAGGCTTTGGGGCAGAGGCCTTGGGGATGAGGAGGGGTTTCCTGTGGGGATGGGATCAACTCATCCAGGACACCAACAACCCTGAGTGTTTATGTGCTAAACCACTAGAACTGCCAGGAGAACTGGACAGACCCGGTCACAGCTGGATATCCAAGGACACCTCTCAGTGACCCTCAGGAATCCAGGTAGGAAGCCTATGGGGGAGTGGATTTGAACCCCACCCCTAACCAAGTGACTTGACTGGCATGAGCCAACTGCAGCAGGGCGCACATGGGACAGCTCCCAGCACAGACCATGCCCCTGGCCACAGCCCAAGTCTTGCCCAGAGCAGAACCAGGAGGATACTTCATGGCCACAGGAGGAAACCAGAAAGGGCAGAGGAGCCAAGCCCCAGAAGGAGCACCTGTGTTGGGCTGGTGCGCTCACAGTGGCCACGGCCAGCTCAGCAGAGCTAAGAGCTCTCCCCAGGTTTTGCCATGCCACCTGGGCACCTGTGCAGGTCATGCAGGACACTCACCTGCAGAAGCTTCCTGACCTGCCCCACTGGCTTGTCCTTCCTCAGGCACGTGGGGGCCCAGGGCGGCATCTCCACCCAGGGTTGAGGGTGCTCTGTCAGGTGAGGAAACCCAGCAGAGATGAGAGTCATCAGCATCAGACCTGCAGTGGGTGCCCTGCCCCTCCCACAGGTTGGGAGGGGCACTGTCCGAGCCTCAGCCTCACCTGGTTGAGGGCGAGGCTGGGCCAGATAATGTTTGTGGCTCTGAGTCCCCAGAGATCTGCAGCTGCTCCAGCTTCGAAGCTGTCCCTGGCCTGGGCTGGGCTGAGTCTTTCTCCATCAGCCCCTGTGAGGACAGGGAGGGGGTGCAGTAGCCAGGTCAGGCCCCAGAACCATGACCTCGCATGTCCATGACCTCACGGCCTGCTTGTCCATCCTCCAGTGGAGGTCCAGCCTTCTCCTGTCCCCATAGGGGTGGAGGAGTGGCGTGCCCAGCAGATGCAGAGCAAAACCAGGGCTGGGGGGCGGCCACAGCCAAAGGGGTGAGTCTGGGGCATGGCACCAGGCTCTGGGGACCAGGAGGGAACTGGCCCTGAACCCCGTGACTGTGATGCTAGAGTGCAGAGGAGGGAGGAGGAGGTATGATGAGGGGACAGGAAAGAGAAGGGGCAGAGGGAACAGGGCCAGGTGCCTGTGCAAACTCACACCCACGTGCACGCACCTCTGGTTCTGCTACTCTTCCTGGAATACCCCCCAAAAGTACTGAGCGTGCCTCCCTCTAACAGTCCCTGGACACTGACAGCCCAGAATGAGCTCCTTCCTAGAAGGCTGTCACATCCAGCCAGGTCCTGGCCATGGGCTGGGTCAGTGCCCCGCTGGACTGAGGACCAGCTTCCCCTTCACAGGGCAGGTGCTGAGCTGCCTAGGCTACGAGTGCTGCCTGTCTGGTGGGGTGACGTGAGTCTGGGGTGGGTGGCTGCCAGAGTCCCTGCCTTCTGAGAGTCCTGCTGGGGGTCTGCGCACGGCACACACCTCAGGTCATGAACTCTGGGCTCCAGCAGGGAGCCCTTGGCCTGGGTGCCTAGCAATCCTGGAACGTGGACAGGTGGGTGGCTGGATGGCCATCTGTGACCCAGCTGTGGTCCCACCACGGTCCCCTCAGTGTAGGTGCCCAGGACCCAAGTGGCCAGGTGTGTGGTTCTCAGCTGAGCCCTCCTGCCTCTGCAGCACCGTGGGCAAAGGCAGGGCTCCGGTTCCCAGTCAGTGTCTCTACCCAGCCCGTGGCCCTGCACCAAGAGAGCGGCATCTGCTTTAGAAGGGCCTTGGGCTGGGATGTGCAGGGGCAGCACAGGGGACCAGGGAGGGGTGGCTGCCGACCTTGAGCTGGTGTTTGAAGAGCAGTTCGTCCAGGGCCATCTGTGTCTCCCAGACTTCATGTTCCGCCTGCTGCTGCAGAAGGGCCAGTCCCTGTGCCTGCTTCTGCTGGTTCAGCTGCATGAGAGCCCAGGCCTGAGGGTTCCCGGGCAGGCCACGCCCTGCTGAGGACTGGACTCGTCCTCAGAGGATCACCCTGCGGCTCCCAAGCCTGGGCAGGACCTGTGTCTCCAGACCACCCAACTGCCCTCCCATCCTGGCCTGGGAAGGCCAGGCACCCTGGTCAGCCTGTCTTCCCCCACCGCCAAGCCCCATTCCCTGGCACTGGGCGCATGGCAGGTGACAGAGGACCTCCCTGTTTCTAAATCCTACAGTTCTGCTCAGCTCGGGGACAAAGGCTGGTTCTGGCTTATCCCTAAACAGGAGAGGCCTAAGGAGACACATTGTCATTCGGCTGACATCACGGGGGTGGGACATACCTTCAGTGACTCAAGAAAGCTTGAGGACTTCTGCTCCAAGTCAGCCAGGTGCCCGCTATGTGGGTCTCCAGCAGGCAGGCCCCCAGGCTCCTGCTGACCTGTGGACCATGGAGGAGGGGGCAGCTGAGCACCAGGAAACGCTCTTGGCCTCTTTCTCCTCTGGGCAGCCTCAGTGCTCCACGGCAGCCTCTCAACCTGTAGGGAAACTGAGGTACAGAGGCCAGGAGGGCAGGTGCCCAACTCCAGGGGCTGGTTGGCACCGACCCCATGAAGAAGAGCTCCTTCTTCCTTCTTCACAGCCCCACAGGAGGACACAGACAACTGCAGCACCGTCTGTCCCCCAGGCTGGCTCTGCCTAACCCCGACCATAATTCCCTCCAGGGCCAAAGACAAACAAAAACCCCTCAACAAACAAACAAAACCCCACAAATGCCCAACGGGCCATTTGCAGAGACAATAGGAGCTACCAGACAGACCTGGGTCAAGCACTTGCTGGGGAACCTCAAATCACTGCCAGGACCTTGTGGGGCCACGGAGCTCTCTACTTCCCCGGCACGAGGCCCCAAGATGGTACGACAAATGCCCAACAGTGTCCATATGGAGAAGAATGAGAATAGACCCTTGTCTCTAACTCTGCACAAAAGTCAACTCAGAATGGATCAAAGACCTGGGAATCAGACCAGAAACCATGCGACTCCTGGAAGAAAATGTAGCAACATTCCAGCATTTAGGCACAGGCAACGGCTTCTCCATAGGACCCCTCAGCTCAGGAAATAAGGCCAGAGTTAATAGATGGGATGACATCAAATTAAAAATCTTCTGCCCAGCCAAGGAAATGGGAACATGAAGGGAGAACCCACAGAATGGGAGAGAATCTTTGTTAGCTCTCTTCTGACAGAGGACTAATATCCATATTATATAAAGAGCTCAAAAAACTTTATACCCAAACCCCCAAATAACTCAATTAATAAATGGGCAAACAAATCAAACAGACACTCTCAGAAAAAGAAATACCAATGACCAATAATTGCTGATGATGTTGAACATTTTTTCAACATCATTAGCCATTAGGGAAGTGCAAATCCGAGCCACAGAGATTTCATCTCGCTCTAGTCAGAATGACCGTCATCAAGAATACAAGCAAGAATTAATGCAAGAGGAGGAGGAGGAAAAGGAATTCTTTTACCCTGTTGGTGGGACTGTAAATTAGTTCAATGACTATGGAAATCATTGTGGAGGGTCCGAGGAAGACTAGCCCAGACCCACCATGGGGAGGAAATGGAAGATGGGGCGGATCTCATGAAAAGCCAAGGAAACCAGTGGAGGGGAGAGACCACGGGGTGGGACGCAGGGAGGGAGGGGGAAATGCTGGGGGGTGATACTGACCACATTGTGCTGTTCTATTGTGTGCTGTGTGCGTGTGCAAATCTAACAGCAGATCCCAACCACACATGAAAAGTGTGGGAAAAGCCCTCAACAAACAAAACCCACCAATGCCCAACAGGCCCGTGAAGACAACCAGGTGGGTGTGTGAACACAGGGGCAAGTCCTAGGGTTCTTCTTGGGGTTTTCCAGATTGTCCCAGAGTGTGGGCCCCCCCCTTGGTTATGAAGTCCCCAGAGGCAGCAGAGGCGCTTTTCTCTTTCTGGTGGTCCCCAGGGACCAGCCCTACTGTGTGCCATTGGTGCTCCTGCCTCACAGAGGCGCAGCCAGGAGTCCCACTTGGGCTTCCCACAGTCTGCCCCTGCCTTGCCATTGGCTTGGGTCCTGGCGAGAGCTGGCAGAGGCCAGGGGACAGCCAGCCCAGTCCCGGTCTCAGACCCTCTGGTTTGGATGATGGAACCCGCCTGCTGGCTGCCGATGAGCTCGTCATTGCTGGTGGGATCCCTGCCACCTGCCCAGAGAACGCAGTCTTCCTGCAGACTGCAGCTCAGCTTCTTAGACCTGGAGCAGTTGAAGGGCTGCAAACAGTTATGCCAGTTCCTGAGCATCGCCATAGCCGCAGAAAGGGACCATGTGGAAAGTGGGATGCTCCCCAGGGCCCCCTAACTGGCCACAATATGCAGTGAAGACACTTGCAAACTTCTGGTTTAGGTGCTGGTGTCTACTTTGAGCTAAAACTCCTTTGCAAAAGAAGAAGATTTCATATCCTTTGTTTGGGGTCCCCAAGGGAAGCTGGAGCTAGAGAAGGTGTCCAACCCTTAGCCACCCTCCTGCAGGGACCTGGAGCTTCAGAGGCCCCAGTCCCCCGGGTCTCCCAGCCACATGGGAGGGGCAGCTCCTGGTCACCTCTGGCCATGTCCATACCCCCTAATAAATCACTGGGGAGACTCGGCTGCATGCCTCTGAGCTCTGAACCATGATCCAGGAGAAAGTGAGCTGTCCCTGAGCAGGACAGCCCCCTCAGTAAGCAGAGGATGACCTCGGCCTCCACCTCCATCTCCTGCTGTTGGACAGGGGGCAAGGAGTTAGGAGAACACACCCCACCCACTGCCCAGTGCCTGGTCGCCCGAGGGTCAGTGGGGTGGCTTCGTGAGGACTCCACACTGGCACTTCTGCTGCTGCTGCTAAGCATGACCATGACGATTGGGCATGAGCTCAGTCCTGGGGCCTGGATCCAGGGGTCACAGCCCCCCAAAGAGCTGGCAGGATGCCCTGCCCTCAGGCAGAGACCTACAGCATCTCAGAGCTAAGCCAGAGACAGCCACACCTGCTGTTCACATTTAAGCTTAAAGGAAACAGGATGTCAAATTCCACTCTCCAGTCACACTCCAAGATCCCAGGGGCTTGACTGTCATGTGAGGCTGGTGGCTGACAGGTTCTCCCTCCTTGCAGGAGGTTCTATTGTGCAGCGAGGTCTAGGCTGGACTCTACAAAGTTCCACTAGACAGCTCTGGTCTGGGAGAGTCTAGAAAGTTCCCTCGGGCAGTCCTGGTTCCAAAGGTAAGAGCTAGAGCTGAGGGACTCCAAGTGACCCATGGGGCTGCTGACACCTTCTTCCCAGGCGTGGTGAATGAGGTGGAGGCGTGAGTCAGAGGACCACTTGCTCATGGGCCTAATCCTGCTCTTACCCCTTGGAAGATCCTGGCCAGGAAGTGGCCACCTACTGTGGTCAGGAATTTCCCCTGACCCTCACACAAAGGCCAACCTCTGTTCAGCCACTTAGAGAGGACAATATGTAAATCCAGCAAAGGCTGGACAGAGCGCTGGTCCTGACCTACCCCTGGGTTCCTGGGCAGCTCACGGCCACTTCAGGCCACACTCTGGGGAGAGGAGGGGCCATGCTCTGGTTTGAATGTCCCCTCCAACACTCATGTTGACATCTAATTGCTGTGACAGCAGCATTAGGAGCTGATCAGTCCTCAGGACTCCACCCCCATGAACGGAATAATGAGGAGAGTGTCCACGTGGAGGGTGGGTTCAGCCCCTTCCTCTTCTCCGCCACGGGACAGCTCAGCAAGGAAGCCCTCACAGGCTGGCACCTTGCTCTTAACCTCCGGCCTCCAGAACACAAGGCTCTAAGCTCTGTTTCCTCATAAATCATCCCACCTTGGACTTTCTGTTAGAGAAGCCAAATAAACCAGACAGGTGGGAGGTGGGCTGGGTCCTCCTGGCTGTGGACCCCCGTCCATGGCTCTCTGTCCCTGGCTCTCAAGGCCCAGAATCCCAGGCACTGGGTGTTCTGACTGGCTCATCTTCTTCTGCTTGTGTCCCCAAAATGCAAGCATCATGAGGGCAGGGCTCGGGTGCTAGTAGGTGCCAGACACCAGGATGCTCGGGGACAGTATGGAGGAGCCGTAACGCTGGGGACCACAAGGAGCTTTGGAAACTTGGAGCCCAGGAGCATCAGCAACGTTGGCCTGAGGACCAGGTGCCCCCGCCCCAGGCTGAGAGGTCCTCCAGAGCCGAGGGCCTGCACAAGCACACCGAGCCAACACACTCTCCACAGCCCTCCACCAGTCCACAGAAGAACGGGCCTGCACGTCTCTAGGCCCACAGAGGACACACTGAGCAACCTCACTGGGAGGCCTCAGTGGGATGGGTCTGGCCCGTGGGGGTGGCTCTGAGCCTGGGTCTGAGACCCCCTCCACGCAGTTACTAGCCCTGCAGGGGAAGCCTGGGGCTCTGCTGTGCCCGGGGCTTTCTCAGGCCACTGGGCCTCACAGGCCTCACTGCCCAACCAAAAGGTGGGCGAGGTGTGGCCGCCACTGCTCTGGTTGAGGGCCGAATGCGCCCGCCTGCCCGCCTCTCACAGCAGACATGACCATGCTTCACCACCACGTCCAAACCCTATTCTTTCGAGGAAAGTCAGTGGCCACCCAGCCATGAAAGCCTGCTCAGAGTCAGCACGCGGCCCCAGCTGCCCAGGCCTCCCGCTGCCCTTCCTGGCCCAGGCGGGGCCAAGGGCTCCCAGCACACAGCCCAGGCTGCTGCTGGGACCAAGTCAGGGTGTGGGGCAGGCATCCCAACCCCCTCCTAGGCACCAGCTTTTCATTCCTGAGCGCTGGGTGCCTCAGGAAGCTGCCCGCAGGGACCCAGGTGCATGGCCACGGAGCCAGCCCTTGGGCTCTCATCCCCCACACTGGTCACAGCAGGCGTGACAGGAGCACAGAGCAGGCAGCGGCCCGGAAGCCTCCAAAACACTTTAATGCTGAAGGGTGGGTGCTGTCCTCATGGAAGAGGGTCTCCCACCCCACAGGATGTGGAGGGGGTCCCTGGTGGCCACCCCTGGCCACCCGGCCAGCTATCCCAGGACCCGTCTGCAGGCTCGCCCTTACCGCAGCTCCAGGTGCTCCAGGGCATTACCAAGCCTGGCCCTCTGGCCACCGGCACGTCCTCCAGACAAAGGGAGCTGCAGGTGGGGCCCCGTGCCGGCACCCTGCGCGAGCTGGGAGGCAGACAAGCATGGGCGTGAGCGAGGTCGGGCTGCTAGGGGCAGCACAGGGGACAGGGGCCTGGCAGGCCACCCCTCACTTGGCTGAATCTGGGCTCCCCAGGCCCTCAGAAGCCCTCGGAACCTCAGTGTGTCCAGGGCAGGATGGAGGGCCAGAGCCTTGGAAGGCCCGGGCCTGTGACCTGCAGTGCCATGGTGGCACCACATGTGCCTGGCCCCCAGCATGGGCAAGGCACGGGGTCTGCAACAGCCAGCAGGAGCGCAGGTGACCACCTCCAGGCACCGTGGCAGAGCCCCTTTTGCCAGAGTGGCCATCCAGTCACCTCTGCCAGTTATCAAGGGCACTTCCATGAGGCCCAGGGCAGACGGGGGCCACCCATCGACGCTGACCCCTCGTGCCGGGCCCAGTGATTCTCATGGCTGGGAATGGAGTGCTCTGGAGTGCTCTGGCAAGACCCAGGAGGCAGGCTGCTGGCCTCAGAGCTGCCCTCCCTCAGGCAGCCAGCCAGCTGTGCCAAGGGTTAGGAGCCAGGCGGGCCCCTGGGCCTTCCTGGGGTCAGCGGCCACGCAGGGAGGGACGCCCTCGAGCGCTGGCCACGGCTGTTGGGATTAGAGTGTGTGGGGCACAGTGAGTGTGTACATGGCACGTGCAGAGTGTGGTCTGAGAGAGCGTGGTTAAGCACATCCCACCTGGCCTGGTGCTCCTCAGGCACCATCTGTCCCTGGCACAGTGACAGAGTTCGCCCACACCTGTGACCATGGAAACCGGCGTGTGGAGTGTCCTTCTTTAGGGGTCAGCAGGTATCTATCTCACATGGACTGTGGGCCAGTCCCGTGCAGGAATAAGGTGGTGACCCCATGCCAGCCCCTGCCCTTTCGGGGCCTCTGAGGCAGGTGGCTGTGTGTTGAGGCCACAGGGCTACAAGGCACCCTGGGCACATGCTGGCAGTGGTCTCAGCCCGCGCTGGCCATTGAGCGCTGGGGTTCCCGTGAGGCCAAGGAGACAGTGCCAGCCTGACTCTGGGCAGCAGACCAGCACCTGGGGCTCCAAGGGAAGGGCAAGCCAGGGAGGGAAGCGCGGCCCGGTGTTGTGGGGGTGGCAGGCCTGTGGGCCCACACACACCCTGCACAGCCTGGACAGTGCTCTTTGGAAGGGACAGGAGTGCCCAGCTGGCCACTGAGCTGTCCCTAATCCCTGCTCTCCCAGGGCGCCTTCTGGGGCACAGATCCTAGATATGTGGTTCCTGCCTCTTCCTGTCTCTCCTCAGATGACTGGGCAGGGGGCAGGGGGTCACAGTGCCCAGTGCCTGCCCTGGGCAAGGGTCTGGGCCACTCCTCTACCCTCTGGCCCCTTTGTGGCTGTGCTAGGAACAGCCAACCCTTCTGGGCCTGGGTCTGAGCGCCTGAAGACAGACCTAGCTTGTCCATCTTGGAGCCTGGGGCGCTGAAATTAACTTCTCCAAAAATTCTATGGTCGGGTTTTAGCCCACCCCCTTCTCAACAGCTTGGGGAGCTGGAGGGGCCGGTATCAGAGGAGAAGCCACCCCTTTGCTGCCCCCTGCTGGCCTCAAGATTCCGTGAGAATACAAGCCCAAACCATCCGCCATCACCAGCCCATCACTCCGCGGGGCTGGGACGAGGAGGCACAGGTGAATTTCTGGGGAGGCGGGCAGAGCAGGCATCAGGGGGAAGGATCCCAATAGGAAAGGGCAGGGGAGGGTAGCTCAGCATCACCCCTGCTGGGGTACCTCAGCACCCTCACTTCCCAGAGCACTGGGGGTAGGGAGCAGACTGCTCAAGGTCAAGGGACAGAGCTGGGACTTTAACCTGCCCCTTGTCCATGGGCAGCTCACAAGGAGGGGGCGTCAGGTTCTTCCCAGCAGCACCTGGGAATTGGGGGAGCAGCACCCTTTCCGTGACTGTGGCCCCACCCATCACCCCGTGGCGGCTGCTCCACATCCTAGCCCCCTGGTGTGCAGGGCCAGCCCCCCAGGCCCACTGACTTAGCTGCCAAGGTCGCTGGGGTGACACAGCCCTGCTGTGGGGACTGGGCAGAGGCCGGGTGTTCCTGGTGGACTCTGGCTGAGGAGGCATGCAGGATGCCCAGGCCACGGCTGTCCTCCTCCAGAACCCCTGACCTGCAGCCCCGTCTTTCTGGTGGTGGCTCTACCTTGGGAATCCAGGGTCCTGGGCTCCCTGGGGAGGGGCTTCTCAGGCCAGGCTTGGGCCCCTGACCAGGGGCTTTGTTCAGTTTGAAGACAAACCAGGGGTGAAGGGAGATTTTTGGGGTGGCAGAGGAGAGTTTTCAGAAGAAGGGGCCCTACCTTGTCCATGGGCCCTGGGGTAGGTCTCGAGGCCATAGCCATCAGGAGAGCTGAGGTAGGCACAGGCACAGCCATCTTGTACCCAACTATGTCAGACCAGATGGCCCCTCAAGGCCCTCAGGGACTGAAGCTTCTTCCTGGGCCCTGCTGCAGCCTGGGACTCAGTGGGGCAGCAGGGGCCCCTCCTAAGCTTAAGTGGGAGGGGGTCTGGGGGCACAGAGCAGGTACCATGTCCCCACAGATGGGACTTCAAATGCACCTTGTGACCTGGACCTGGAGAAGGCTGTGGGCCACGGCTGGGGACGGGTGGAAGAAGGGCAAAGGTCCAAGTGGTCCTAGAACTGAGCCGTGGGGTGTGGGGCCTGGACAGGTAAGGAAGGCCCTGCTCAGAGGCCCCGACAAGGCCAACTGCCAACAGCCAACAACAGAGCCAAGGTGACATGTCTCCCCAGGGTCAGAGCAGCACCAAGGGAGTTTGTGGGTGAGTATGTCCCAGGGACTCTTGACTGCCCAGGGCAGGGCTTGGCTTAGGGACCCACTGCCAGCTTCCCGGCCAGAGCTATCCAGAGAGCCACCCCATGGCGCGGACCAGCATCAGGGCCAGCCTGACTTGGCCTACATCCTGGGAGCTGTGCCCTCCCTGCCCAGCCTGGCTGCACCCAGCTCCCTGGCCTTGGCCCTCGACCAGCTCCAGGGGCACTTGCCAAGGGAGCTGTCTGGGCTTACCTCCCTAAGGGGGCACCAAGGGACCTGAAGGAATCCGAATCTCTCTGCAGCCTCTTCTCCAGCTCCCAGAGTCTCTGTTCCACACCTTTGAAAGAGGCACATGTCATGGCAGGGAATCAGCAGGACAAGGAGCTGCAGGTTAGCGGGGACAGGGACGCCTTGGCAGGGGTGCCCGGGCACATTTTGCAGTGGGCCTAAATGAGCTGCTGTGCCCACCTAGCCTTCAGGCCCCTGGAGAAAGGCAGGGCAGGGAGTGGAGGGCACACGGGCAGTGCAGCAGCCTCACCCCTTCTTCAACCTGTCTTCAGACAAGACAGGGAGGGCAACTACATCATGTGCCACTAGGAGGGCAGCTATTCTCACCCTGCCCACCCTGGACACCTCCTAGCTATGGCCTTCCTCTCCCTGCTTCCAGAGAGGAAACCAACTGATAATGGGGTCCTGTGCTCCTGCTCATGGGACCTCCTGGCCACTCACTGGCCATTGGGCCCAAGGCCCCAGACGTACCTTGGGGCTGGCTCTGGTGGCGGGCCCTTGGGCTTACGCTTTGTGTCTCCCAGCTCGGGTTCCACAGCTCTGGGTCATCATTAAGGAAGCAGGAGGAGGGGATGAGGGGCTTGGCCTGCAGGCCAGCCCAGTCCTGGGGTGTCCCTGTTTCTCTGTTGGGCATCAAGGCACTGGGGCAGGCCGTGGCAGTGAGTGTGAGGGCAGCAGGTGCAGAGCTGGGGCCCACGGGTGGCCAGTCCAGGGCAGTGTCCGAGGCCTCTGCCCCGCGCAGCTTGGTGGTCAGGATGTCAATGCGCTGCTTGAGCACGTTGGCCATGGTCTCCAAGGCCTGCAGCCGGGCCTGCTTGTACTGGAACTGCAGGGGGCCTGAGGAGCCCAGCCGGTCAGCCTCTTGTGGGTCCAGGTAGACGCAGAGCCCCCGGGAGAGGTCCTGGAGGTGCAGGGGGCCCAGGGAGGAAGCGGTGGACAGCAGCAGCGGGGCGCCGGTTCCGGTCTGCAGGGTCTCAGTGTGGTCCCAGGCTCTGTTCAAACACAGACAGAAGCTGCCGGAAGAGAAGAGCAGGCGCTCAGCCCCCGCAGGGCTGCGTCGCTTGGCATGTGCAGAATGGCCGTGTGCAGAACAACAGGGAGGAGTGACTGGCGGCTCAGCAGAGCCCTGTCTGTCACAGAGGCCAGAGAGGCTCCGGCCTCCACAGGCAGCTGGCCTGCGGCTGTTTAACAGAAGAGAAGGGGGCCTGGCTGTGGCCTGGGAGGGGGCAGGGACATCCACGGGTCTCTGACTTTAACACCATGTTGCCACCGTGTGGCAGAAAACCCGTGTTGGGGGAAAGCAGAGGAATCAAGGACTGTGAGCCGCCACTCCCATACCCGGGCGCTGTGGTGTCTGTGTCCACTAGCAGACGAGGCAGGACGGCAGAGCGGGACGGGGGCACATTACTCAGCAGGAAACAGGAAATTGTGTCAGCAGCTGTGGTGGGGCTTGGGCCACCAAGCTGGACTGCTGGACATCACAGAAGGTAATGAAGGCAGACCCCACTTAGGTGAGGGCCAGCATCCTGGAATCCAGACACAGAACCCAGGGTAGATGGGGACAGACTGGCCTGGGGCGTCTGTCAGGTGGGGCGGTGGCCACGGCAGGATGGTGGTGTGGACCTACTAGTGCCACAGGGGCCACACACTTGGACGAGGTGGGGAAGGGTGTGGCTGGTGCCTCGCGAGGGCACCGTGTGCCGTGGCGCCTTGGGCGACTAGCTGAGGATGCCGCTCTGCGCACTGAGGAAGGGCTGCGGGAGCCGCCCAAAGTGGAGCTGCCCGAGAGCTCGTTCAGCCTGACTGAAACCTCCTGCGACACACCTGGGTGTCAGACATCACACCGTGGCCCCTCCGTGGGCACCACCTCTGCTTTCCTGCTTCAGTTATAAATAAATTTAGCATAAAATAAAATCCAGATGGATTAAGGATCACAAAACATGGCTAAGGGCTGGGCCTAGGCCCCATGGCAGAGTACTTGCCTAGCGTGCATGAGGCCCTGGACTCCATCCTCAGTACCATCTAAAAATTAACCTATAAGTCAAGGCCTTCTGTCCATCTACAACCACAAAATAAACTAAAAACCTGGCTAAGATGGTGGATTTTGTTATGCTTGACACATTTTTTTAAAAGTGGAAATCGCAAAGGGCAAGGAGACAGAGAATGAGGAGGACCTACAGCCTCCCACCAGTGGGACAGACCTCCATAGCACCGTGTGGCACGGGAGCCTGACAGGCAGCCAGGGAGGGACTGCCCTAGGGTACAGGGTCAGGGTGGAGCTGAGTCCTCTCTCCCTGGAACCAGTGTCTGTTTAAAGGTTTACATAGGCAGACCCCTGGGCACCTCTGGGCCCTGAGTCCAGGGAGGTAGTCCAGAAAAGACCAGATATGGAGCCAGAGGAGCAGCCAGGGCACGAGGAAGGGTGTCCAGCCAAGGAAAGGGGGCTGGGGCCATCCTGGAGCCCCTCCCAACACCAGCTGCCAAAGTGTCCCCTGAAAACCCAGGGCAGGGTGCTCCTGGCTGCGGCACCTCAAGGGGAAGCCCTGAGCCCAGCCTCCAGCCAGATGTAGCTGCCCACCTGGGCCCATCCACGGCGGGTGGCCAGAACGAGGCTGGCCAGGCAGAGGCTGGCCCTGGCTAAGGCTCACTGCAGAGCCCAGGGAGCCCTTCCCAGGCAAGAGCCAAAAGCAAGCCCCCTCCCCGGCTCCCCTACAGGATGGGGAGGGCCTGCAGACGTCCCCACTGGCTCCCAAACAGCTCAGGGGTGGAGAGTGCCCTGGTTGGAGTAAAACACAGGAGGGTGAAGACAAAACAATCGGAAACAAAGACAAGAGCCAGGTGGGCTGGGGCTGGGGCTCAGGGGTGGGGCGCCTGTCGTACTTCCAAAGTCATGACCCCTAATGTTGAATCCCCAAAGAGCAAAATTCCTAAGGTCTACAATCTCAACTCTGAAAGATTAAAAGAATCGTGAATGTTGAAATCCTGAAGGCTGGGATTCTGAACACGGGGATCCCCACGCCAGGCGGCTCCGGAGGATCAGCCTGCTTGCCATGGTCAGCAGGCAGAATAGGACGAGTGGAGCCTGGATGCCCGGGGCAGGGTGCCTCCCGGGGTGAGCAAGAGCTCAGAGGGCTGGGACTGGCCGTGTGGAAATGAGTGTGAGCATCTCCCAGGAGACAGAGGAAGAAGGCAGCCCCGTCGCCATGCAAGATTTGGAACATGGTCTGCGGACCACCTCCTCCAACTGCCAAGCCCCTCCCGGGAAAGCACTTTTTCACACGTCAGATTTTCTATTTAGTTTAGCTTTTTTTTGTGTGTCTCTTTTCTCTCTTAGTTTTCCCCCCGCTATTTTAAATTGCCGGCATTGTATTTTGCAGTCTGCTATAAGATGCATTTCATCTGCATTCGTGTCGGGGTCCTGAACAGAAAGCCCTTGAGACTCCTGATTTCCGATTGGCTTTGTGCACCTCTTGCCACTGTGACTCCAGCAGAGAGCCTCACTCCACGCTGGCCTGTGCTGAGCTTCGTGCATGCAGGTAAAGAGGTTCAAACAGCACCTTTGTGCATGTCCACTTGTGTGAGAGAAAATTTCCCAAGAGCTAGCTTGCTGGGGTCCCTCTGTACAGTGGTGACCCATTGCAGCAAAATAGGGTGTCCATCACCATATTTCCGATGACCACAGGATTTTTGTCATTTTCTTGCTGTCCTGGGAATGGAACCCAGGGCCTCGTACATACTAGGCAAGTGCTCCATCGCTGAGCCGCCACCCAGCACTTTTTACTTTGAGACAGGGCCTTGCTAAGTTGCACAGGCTAGCCTGGAACTTGGGGTCCTCCTGCCTCAGCTTCCTGAGTAGCTGGATCACAAGTGTGGCCACCACTCCTGGCTCCCAGATGACTGAAGCTATAGAGCTGGGCAGACACAATTACCAACCACAGGGCCATGTTTTGACATGTCTTTATGAATTCGGCTCCTCTGCTCCTAACTGAAAAGCCCGTGTAACCGTCATTAGCAGAGCTGAGTGCTCGTACTTGCATAATTGCCTACATTGTGACTGTCTGCTTTATCCGGTAAGTTGCCACCAAGTGTCCTGTCAGGCTTTTATGTTTCTCCCATAAATCCCCCTCTGAAAATATACATCTTTGAAATAATTTTTAAATTATTTTTTACAGAATTATATTTTCAGGATTTACATTGTTCAGATTGGTGATTTTAGAGACTTTAAAGATTTTGCTCTTTCGGGATTTCAACATTTGGAACTATGGAGTTTAGCACTGTGTCTTTCGGGATCACGGCTCAAGCCTGCAGGTGCTCACAGGAGGAATAAAGGCAGGTATGTGAGCTGGCCCGGCAGCCATGGCCACAGCGGTCAGCCACGGGAGCTGAAAGGCAGGGCAGCCCCGTGTCCACGGACAGGGAAGCTGATTGGTGTGGACAGAGCAAAATGATGTGAAGCCCTGCTTCACATTGAACGAGGTGGATGGGAGGCCCTGACGTGCAGTGAGAACCCTGGGCCGTTACCTTTCAGAGCCGTTATTACGAAATGTTGCTAGGGGCAAATCCATGGCCAGAGCAAACTAAAAGCTGCTCTCCCGGGAGAGTGGGTGGAGTGACAGCCGGGGGTGGTCTCCTCTGGGGTGACTGTCCCAGAGCAGCTGTCCGTCAGAGGGCTCTGAGCTGTGCCCTTGAGCATGGACGATGTGGGTCCCACATGCTCCTCTGACCTCCGAGAAAACACTGGAGCAACCAGCTGCTCCCTGGACTGGAGCTTCACCATGATGGCAGCATGGGGGCCCCTGAATTTGTCCTTTGCCCTGTCTGCCACCACAGCCATGCACAGAAACAGCAGCCCCCACGTTGTACCCACCTGCCTGGGGCCTCCTGGGCCCCCAGTACCTTGCCAGATGTCACCTTGTTCCACTGAAGCACAGGAGATGCCAGGTTCCCAGGGGCTTCCAGGCCCTAAAGAAGAAGGGGCAGTTAGAGCCCCCCAGCAGAAGACCCCACAGCCCATGTCTCGGCCTCAGATCCGGGCCCCAACCTCCACCAGGCCTCAGGCTGGATTCTGAAGAGTCCTGCAGGGTATTGGCAGGGGGGTCTCACTTCAGGGGCTGGGGTGGAGGCAGCACGGTCCTCCCAGAGCACACTTGGGCTGCAAGCCCGCAGCCTCTCTGGAGCCCAGCAGCAGGGAATCGGGCTCAACCCCCAGCCCCCACCCCCGGACAAAGGTGCCCAGGTCTGGGCCTCTCCTCTGTGGAGTCACCCAGGACAAGGCTTGTGAATGCCCTTGTTTCCTAATGAGTCAGGGTGAAGCTGCTGCAGCCAGAGCTGCCACAGCCCCAGTGCCACAGCCCCAGTGGACACATGTCAGTGGACACATGTCAGTGGACACAGGTGGCCAGGGAAGCAGCCGAGGTCCTCAGGCCCAGAGGCTGAGCTGAGTGTCCCCTTGCCCCTCCTGCACGTACCCCGGACCTCGCAGAACTGGGCACAAAGGTGACAATGCCAGGGTTGGTCTGGGAGACCACGGGGACGGCCTTGCCCAGCACCGCCTCCCTCTGCTTCCGGTAGACCTCCTGTAGCCTGTGGTTCCTCAGCTCCAGAGTGCGCGTAGCCACGGCCTTTCGTTCCAGGGCCTGCTGCCGCCAGGCCTGGGCCTTGTGGCGCATGAAGTCCCGTAAGGACTCCGAGCTGTGCGGCTGGCACAGGGGCGCCCGGAGCCTTGGGCAGGACCCAGATGAGCTCGAATCTTGCTCCTTCCCCAATAGGTTCTGAGGGTGGCCCTGGCTGGGCCTCGACCAGGCCTGCTTGGTTCCCAAAGAGTGGGGGACAGCGGCTCTGAGCTTACTGGGGGGGGCAGTCCTTTGCCCAAAGGAGCTGCTCCAGGGCTGTTGGGGGACAGAGTGTGGCCTCTCCAGAGAGCTCCAGGGTCTGGAGACAGCGGGCTCCAAGTCTTCACAAGCCGCCCAGGCCCTCTGATGACAGGTCTGTCCACCAGAGGTGCTCCAGGGCCGCCGTGAGAAAGTGTCCAGCTTGTCAGGGTTTTTTCTTGACCTCTGGAAAGGGGGGTCTCTTCCTTGGGCCACCCAGGCCCTCTGTGGATAGGACTCCCACTTGGCTAAGGTATGCCAGGGCTGCTGGAGGCAGGAACTGCTGGGCCTCTCTAAAGAGGAGCACTTCCCCTCTGTCATGGCCCAAGAGCTCTTGGAGAAGGAGCCCTGCACATCCCGGGAGCCTGGGGGGTCCCGCTGCTGCCTCCCTGCTGGACTCTGCGGCTCTGCTTTAGCGGGTCTGAGCTTCGGTCTGTCCCTGGGGCTGCGGGCCAATTCCAGCCCGGCCTGGATCTGCTGCCGGAGGTCTTTCAGGATAGCCATAGCGGTTTGGACCGTCTCTGGCTGATCTTGGGAAGTCAGGCTGGGTGTGATCTCGGAGAGCCGCTGGTCACTGCCGGCAGAGGCAGGCCTGGGGAGCCAGGCGTGGATGGGCGAGCCCCGGGTGGCTGTGGCTCTCTTGCTGTCTCCTGCAAAGACAGGTGGTCACGGGGTGCTGGGCACTGCAGGTGGAAGGCAGGCAGAGCCAGCTCCTCTCAGCTCCCTCCCTCCCGACTGTGGCCTCGGCGCCCACACACAGAACCCTCAGAGCAGCAGCCACATGGGGCGAACCCTCCGCTCTGGATGTGTGTGCTGACTGCGCACACGAGGAGTGACACGAGACCCGCAGAGGAGTGGCCGCTCCTATCTGCAGTCCTTCTGCTGGGGAAACTGGTGGTGTGCTTGCTCCAGAGCTGACCCAGGACATTCTTGGGGACAGAAATCCTTAGGGTTTTTTGGTCTGTTTGTTTTGAGTACTGAGGATTAAAACCCAGGACACCCTCGGCTTTTTTATTTTTATCTCGAGACAAGGTCTCACAAAGTTGCTGAGGCTGGCCTCAAACTTGTGATCCTCCTGCCTCAACCTCCCAAGTTGCTGGGATTACATGTGTGTGCCGCCACTTCCAACCTTCTCAGGTTTTTAAAGATAATTATTTTCCTGTGTCCCCTCTCTGATGGTGATTTAGAGGGTGATTGACAGGTCTCTGGGAGAGACACCCTAGCTGCCTCCTCCTTTGATGAGATGGACAACATGGCCATCTCCTCCTCCACACCCGCCCCCTGGGGCCGCAGCAGACCCGCAGACCTGTGGCAGAGGCACGAGGTACCTAATTCCACGCTGGGGGCCCAGTCCCTCGAGGGTGCCTTGCTCTGGAGCCTGGGGCGGGCAGGAGGGGGCCCAAGCAGCAGCCTCACCAGGGCTTGTCCTTTTCTCCAGGCGTGAACACCAACCAACTCAGAATCTTAAACAGAGAAGACACACAAACACAGCCGGGTGCCTGTGGACCTCCGAACTGCGGCCCTGATGAGGAAGTGGGTGGCTCCACGTGGACCCTGGCGACCACCTCACAGGCTCTGGAGGGGCTCAAAGTGAAACCCCTCATGTCCAGCCCCCGTGGGTGGTGTGCTTGGCTTCATCTCAGGGTGACTATGGCAACTTCTCTGACCCTCCGTATTCTCTTCAGTGAAAAGAGGGTAATAAATCTCCTCCTAACAGCTCTGTCCAAGGAGCACTCAGCATAGACTTGTGCACACTCCCACACACGCCCACACCTCCTCTCACCCGCATACACTCACACACTCACACCCTCACACACTCAGGCACGCAGCACACACTGTGGCCAGGAAAAGCCACCAGCAACGTGCAGGTCACAGCCCTGGGCGGCCCCTGCACCTGGCCGAACCTCCAGGTGCTCAGGGCAGGGGCTGCAGCTGGTCACACCTCAGCCGGAGGAGAGTCCTCTGCTCTGAAGCTGGTCAGAGCCAGCAGCCACGGGTGGGATCCGTGCAGGCTCCCAGGCCCACAGAACTGTGCGACACAGAGTAGATGTCACGGCACCTGCCAGCAAGATGAGCTCGCTCTAACAAACATGGCGCACAGCGACATCACTGCCAGGGGTTTCCTCACGCTCCCCGGTGGCGCTCACCAAGGCCAGCCCGGCCACCGTCATGACGGCCAGCCCTCCACCAGCCCAGCTGGGGACAGAGGCCTCTCACCCGCACCCTCAAACACAATCACCCACATGCACACAGACTTGTGCACACTCACACACACATGCACACACGCCCACAGCTCCTCTCACCTGCACACACTCACACTCTCACACACTCACGCTCTCACACACTCATGCACTCACATTCTCACACTCTCACACACACTCACACACTCACATGCCGACATACTCACACGTCCTCACACACACTCGCACACACCCTGAGGCCTGGAATCAAGATCTCCATGCACACCCAGCCCCCATGAAGGGAGATTTCTGCCAGTTGGGTGCTCCCCCTACACCCCTCATGGACCTGCCCTGAGCCTGCGTCGCCAGCCACAGGTCTGGAACCACACTCCCGGATGGAGCACGGGCAGCACTGAGCCATGCCGTCTGGGGTCAGGCCCCCGGGCCAGGGGAGGTCATGGTGCTGTCACAGCAGTCCCAGGCCTGGGTTCTAGTCCGGCTCCACCTCCTCCACTGTGGACCTCCGGCAAACGACCCAACTCCTCCGAGCCTCAGGTCCCCTCTGTCAGGGGATGGCTCTAGGAGCCCCTTCCCACGGTGCCATGAAAGTGAACCAGTGGTCACCATCACTGTGGCTGGAGTCAGGCCTGAGCTAAGGCTGGCGTGGCCCCATTGACCACTCCTGGACCTCACATAGGGACATGGGGACGTGTCAGGCTGCCCAGAGTGGCTCTCCCCGCCCTCAATGCTGCTCTACTGCACAAAGCTAGCCAGGCTTTCCCCGCCAGGCGCCGGGCAGAGACCCCGCTGCACCCTCAGCCCTCCCCCATCCCCCAGCTCGGCTTCCCGTGGCCCAGCAGAGGGGCCCATCGATGGATGGGTCCTGGTGGGCGCGTTTTTCCTTCTGCTGAGCACTTTGAAGGCAATTAATGTTTTTACGAGAGGATTTTTAATCTGTGGATGTGGATGAAGTCCCCAGTGCCCTGTCAAGGCTCCAGCTGACCTAATCTATGATAAAAAATGCAAAGTAAGGTGCGATAATCTAAAATTAAATATCGGGCTTCATCTTCCTGCGGCCCAGATGGATGAATATTTTATACTACCATGGTTTAATTTTTTGTTAACTGCAGCAGATTTCTAATTCATCCAGTTCCTGAGTCCTGTGGCTCTGACCTCTGAACCCAGACCCATCCCTCCTTAGCCCAGCTGTGACTTCGTCACTGTCAGCAACTAATGCTCATTGCCATCAGGGTGACAGGGTGGCCGTGGTGATGAATGTGGGCAGTGGCACGCCCCTCTGACCCGGTGTCAGGCAGAAGGCAGGTCATTTTTCAAGCTAGCCCTTAAAACAAAACAAGCCCAAAAGCCGAGGGGAGGGGGATGACACCCCTTGGTGTCATATAAATACAGGGTTCTATTTTGTGCATTTTCAGGGAGCTTCTGGAAACTTCTTGGAGCCCTTCAGTGTCTCTCTTGGATGCCAGTGGAGATTTTCCCGGCTGTCCTGCGACACCTCCAGGCAGCTAACAGACAAATTTGCCAAGGCCACATGGCCAGCTGGGCCTCCCGCCTCCCTGAAGACCTGCTGCTGAGCATGGCGGAGGCCACTGCTGGCCCAGGGAGCAGATGTCTGACCACACAGGTGCCTGGGCGTGCCTAAAGCTCATGCTGCCCAGCAGGCCAGGGCCCTGTTCTCACCCAGTGGGGAAACTGAGGCACAGAGGGTCAGTCCATGTCATGTCCATGGGAGCCATGTCCTGGCCCCAGGTGCTGCTTAGGCTTACAGTCAGGGTCCCACACAGCCCGTCTCAGGCCCTGTAGGCTGTGTCCTCCACACCGGGGGGTTCTCAGGGGTGTTCCCCGGGCCCAGACTAAGGGCAGGCCTTGGCAAGGTGCCCAGGCGTGGTCCCAGGTACACACGACTGGCTCTCAGGTTAGGAGCACAGGTTGTGAGCTGGATGGGTCAGGGCCTCTCAGCCTGGCCCTGGGCAGGCTGCCCAACCTGTTCCCACATGTAGCAGGCCGTGTGCCTTTCCCCAAGGAGCTCTGAGGATAAAGTGATTTGATGTCCTCACAGGCTTGACCTTGAGGATGTTCAAAGGAGGCCCAGAAGAGCTCTGCCAGCCTCCGTCCCAACAACCCGCTACTGCCCACGTCCAGTGGAGGGCAAAACCCCTCCCGCGTTCACCCTGAGGCTCTGAAACCAGCAGCCAGGCAGGGCACCTGGGTCTCTGCAGGGCCAGACCTCAGGGAGGGGGGGGGATTCCTAACTCAGAGGGAGTTCGGAGTCCTCCAGGCCCTGCCCACCACTGAGGACAGACCTTGGCAAGGTGCCCAGGCATGGTCCCAGGTACACACGGGGTGGGCAAGGGGGAGCTCTGTTATCACCTATTGTTAATTATATCCTCTATTATCAGTGACAGCATTAGTGATGGCCTTACCCTGGCTAGCCTCTTGGAGAGTGTGGGATCTGCGAGCCTCCTCCTCCCCCTCCCCCCCAGCCTTCCCCTCCCCCTCCCCCACTCTTCCCCCACCCCACCCCTACCCTACCCACCCTGCCCGGGCGGGTGGAAGAGCCTGTCCTTGTTTCTGCCTGGAACCCTAAGTCTCCAAGTCCCAAGCTGGGCCAGCGGGGACACCCGCCCCCCAGACATCCCGCACCCTCACTTCGGCAGCACTGTGGGAGTGCGCAGTGCCTTGTCCTCAGGGACTGTGGCGGGGGCTGGAAGGACAGGACAGCGCTCGGGCTGTGGTCTTTCACTTCACCATGAGGGACACACAACCTGCACAGGCAGGAGCCACCCGCGGCTCCTCTGGTGGCCACTGGAGCTGAGGCCCCCAGATCCCAGGCGTCCTGAGCCTGGTGTGTGTGGCAGTGCAGGTGACCCTGCCAGCCAGCCAACCTCAGGACTGAATCCAGAGCTTCTGCCAACTCTAGGGACCCCGGTACCCGGGTTCCCAGCCCTCACCTTTGCCTTTGGCTGGTCCGCTGGGGCAGAGCGACTGGGCAGGTTTCTCCCTTTTCCAAGAGATGTTTCTGGTCCTCTTAGTTTTTTCCCTTGGAACTTCAGCGAGAGGAAGAGGAAGAGGGAGGGAGAGTGAGGAGTGGACCCCATGTGGCCACTGCACACGCATCCCGAGTCCTGGGGTTCCTTGAGTGGGTGGGTGACCAGATGAGCCAGGCCCCGGGGAGCCCAGCAGCAAGGGTTGCAGCCAGAGGGGCTGGGTACCTGGCTCCAGCTGTGGGTCAGGCCAGCTCTGGGATCCTGGCTGGCAGAACACAGGGCCAGACGGCCCCTACACATGTCCAGCTGGCCACCACTGCAACACGGGGGCCTGCCTCTGACTGCCTTCTCCCAGCCCCTGCAGAAACCTCTGCCACCCTGCTGGGCCGGGGAACTCAGAAGCCAAGGACATAAAACACCTCCCAGCCTCCTCCCCCTCCACTCTGGGGTCTCCAAAACCCTACAAGAGCCCACTTCTCTCCACCCCATGCCTGCCCTCAAACAGAGCTGCTCAAGCCCAGCTGTCAGCCGCTCAGGTCCAGCACCCCC